CGGTTGTTTACGGCAGTCGTACACAGATTTCGTATACAATCTCCGTTTTGCCCCGTATTTGTCCGTATACGGTCACGGTGATATACGACCGTAATACTGGACCATGTAAAACGCAAAAATACGANCACAGTCAATAGTTTTTCAAAACATTTTATATCAAAATGTAGCCCGTTCAATTCTGAATCTAATGGTATAGTTTTCAAATGTTTTCTGTTGTTCGACAACGGCAAAATCGATAAAATACAAAAAGTGCCTTAAATTTTTTTTCCACTGGAAAAAAACAGTTTCTGCTATAAAAACTTAACCGGTTCACCGTTGATGTTCTCGATATAATAAATTTGTAGCTCCTTCTGGGAGTTATCAAAATCACTATTTGGATGCCCATTAAAAGGGATCTTTAATGAAAAAAAACGAAAAACAAAAAGTGCCTTAAACTTTTTTCCGCCACTTTATTTGATATTACTTGTATTTTAGAATGGCTCTCTTCGAAGAACTTCATTTCTATTCAGGTATTGTAAATTTTATATATTTATATAACTACTCAAGGTTTTATGAACGTATCATATCTTTACGAAATGCCTTGTTTTATTGTCTTCGACAACGTTTGCGGTGAGACACATGTAAAAAGAAAAATGAATGTAAATTTATCAATTTTGGAACATGAATATCATTTCATTACTAAATATAATCAATATAAAAAAAAAGTTCTACTTATGAAATGCACAATGACAGTCAATCGTTACAGATGTAGTTTGAAAAAAGACAAAAATAGAAAATAGAACACGAGAAAATAAAAGATCATGTAAATGAGTGATCGATACAAATTCATTGCTTTGTGCCTTCTCTTTTGTTCACTGAAAAAAATGATTTCTGAAAAACTAATAATCTTCTTCAAATTTCACAATCAGATTTTCATAGTTCTATCAGAAAACAGTTGATTAAATATCAGCATTTTCTTCTGCTAATATTAAAAAAGAATAATTATCTAGTTGTACATTGAATACTATAATGCGTGATGTTGACCAGCATAAATAATAAATACTTGTTTGAATTTATATTTCTTGTTTTTTTTCGATGATAGATATAATCATTGTATAAAATGATTCTATTCTTTCATAACTAAATTATTATCCAAATGAGTTTAAAAAAAACTTTGAAGCCTTTTAATTTTTTCTATTATAAAATACGATTTGATTCATGTATTCAAATTAGAATGACTAAAAATTAGTTTTTATTGATGATAAATGATTTATCTTCAAATACAAAATCGATATAACCTTCAGATAATGTCGACTTATAAAGAAAGAGACAATGCTAAATGTTTAATTTTCAGAGTAACTTTGCTGCATATTGCATATCATATGAAAGTAAATGGTATACGATAAACTAATTCAGAAATATTTGTTTTTAAGAAAAACTTTTTTTGTTTGTAACAAAGCAACATTCACTAACGTTGTATAATGATTTCATTTCTATGAACGATATATGTACAAATCGAATATGTAACATAGAATTTTCTCTTATAGAGATACAAGTCGTGATTATTGAAAGAAAATTCTTTTCTTATTAGAGATGTACTTAATAGTAGTAAATATTCGATAAGCGTCATAGAATAGATGGACGTGTATTCATTATTTTGTTTTCGACTGACTAAAGTTATTCAAATGAAGAGAGAAATGGTAACTGTCATCATCCCATTGTTCACTAGAATCAATTGGCCGTGCGTGAAAAAATATCGTGTGATAACCTAGATTTATTCGTTCTGTGTTCGTCTATCTATAAATAGCGATACACATTCATAAAACTAACATATATAACGTCACAGTCATCTTCTATTTGTGTAAATTTTATTGGTATATTTTTCCCTGTTAACATTGGTTGTATAGTTTTATAAATAAACTAGAAAACTTCTATCAAATATAATAACAAAAATCATGTCATCGATTGTCAACTATGTTATATTCATCTTGGTTCTCTTATGTACCAGTGGCTTATTACAAGAAGGTTTGTTTTTATTTTTAGTGATTTAATTGTATAACTTATTATTTGTTTTTAGCTGTTGGTCTTCAACTAGGTGAACAACCACATAGACTTTTACAGATGCGTCGACATGAATACCATCTCAAGCATAAGGGATGGCGTTACCATTGTTGTAAGTAATATTTCTCTATTTAGACATTCGTTGCTGATATCGTTTTTTGTTTAGATCGTTATTGATGATGAACATGGTAGTTTCAGCTGATTATTGAAATTAATTATATTATAATACTAAAAAAATCTTTTCTTAATCTAAATTTATTATATTTTTTTTCTTTTCTTTAATTTGTGATGTTATAATTATCTTTCTTTTGTCGAAATGAATAAATAATGTTAAAGCAATGATTTAAACATACCTTTCACTTTTTTTTACATTCTTGCTACTCATAACATTATATATATGTTAGAAAACGCATTCTAAATTGTTATCCACTGCACATATTCAATAGAATATGAAATGCTTTGACAAATGTCTAAATGCTTTAAATACGAAGTAATTGTTGTTGTGATAAGATTTCAATATTTGAAATTTATAGTCGAGCAGTAGGCTTGAATGTATAGTTGAATATCTATTGAGCGAATGATTGTTTTGTTCTTATTCAAATCATTGTGCAAGTGCCAGTAATGAAATGTCAAATAATGATAACAGTGACACGTATTAGAATGATTTATAAATATTTGATATTGATTGCATTTTAGAATGCTTTGTTTTTGGAGAAAAATTGTTCCTCTTGAAAAATTTCAGTTTTTTTTACAGTAGTTTATTTATATTTTAGTTTTGCATATTCGAAGAAAAAATTGAATTTTCTACTTAAATAAAGTAGTTGAGCAAGATGTATTTGACAAAATAAGCTCTAATGTTCATATAGAGAAACAAAGAAAAATAAGATTGAATAGAAATAGATTCTTTCGGTACATAAATATCATTCTAATGATATATTTAATTCACTGTTTTTTAATTTTCTACATTTAGATACTTATATTTTACTGACTATCATTTTGTTTTGATAATTCACAAGAACAGTAATAATATAAATAAATTTTCTTTCGTCTTCTCTTTGTTTCTTCTGATGAATAATAATAGATATTCGCTGTTTCGAAAAATTAGCTGTTTTGAATAACAAATATTCATTAATATTCAATCACTTTGAATCTATTCGAATGACTTATGCAAATCCAAATGTACAATAACAAAGTCGATTCTTTTGATAGATATAAGTGATGAGTCACGTTGCGCTCAGTAGTGATTTTCATTTTGAATTTCAATCTGATTCAGGGTCATCAGATTAAAGATTTCGAAACTCTAATTTTGAAAATTGTGATATACTAATATAGAGTCACAATGAAACTAAAAATAAAAATCACTACTGAGCTCAATGTTATTCATCATCTTTATTTAGATCGGTGTTAAGGTGATTCGTAATCAGTTGACTAAAGTCAAGGATCTCTCGAAAATCCTTTAACTCTTGAACAGTATGGCTTAAAGATCTCGACGATTTTGCATAGATCTGTAGTACCTCAGTTTCTCTTTACAAATAAGATAAAAATGAAATCAAAATATGATGAAAAGGTTTTCTAGAAAGTCGTTCTGAAAGGTCTTCAGCAAAAACTCATATGCTCAGTTAACTTCAAACCGATCACAGATCGTATTTCTTCATACATCCAACATTTGTGTATCGAATAGTAAAAAATATGGTTTGCTACCTACTTGCTATTAAACACTATTCAAGAAACAATCACACTAATGGTTTTCTGAAAATGACAATAGAATTATATTAAGGATGGTTCTGAATTGATGTTACAAGAAAAAAAAGAAAACAAAAGAGAAAAGTGAAATAAACCATTTCAAAATATGTTTTCTCCAAACCAAATAAAAATAAAAATTGAAAAGATATTTTGTGAATAATTTCTAATCGAGAGTAGGATTGATGCGTTCTTTGTTCATCTTGTCTATTAAGAGCAATACATCTATCAGCTAAACAATTAACTAGAAAACATTTATCTGTAATCATGAACATGTCATTCATTCTCAAACATGTTGTGTTTAGTTTAGTTCTTTTTTGAGTCGATGGCTTTCTACAGCGATATCAATTAATTTATTCAGTTTTTCATTTATCATCTTCATTGTTCTAACCTGTAATTGTTGGCCGTGGGTATGGTGGCCGTTAATTCGATCAACGTACTGTTGATAAGTCTTATCTTATCGGTGAAGGTCGGCGTGTTGTTAGTAGCCGTTATCTTGGTGGAAGTAGACGTTCTGGCAGCACATCTTATCGTTTTAGTAGCACTCATAGTATCATTAGTAGTTCTCTCTTGATTCGTAGCTGCAAGCGTATTCGTAGTACTCGATGTCAAGTTCACTTCTGACATCATACGTCTTTTTTTTTCTACTTCGGACTTAAATATTTGTATGTATATTTTTTCTCCAAATTTTGAACGATATTGATCAACAACAAAGTGTAAATTGGTCAATAAATTTAATTAAATGTTTTGCTTAAAAAAATATTTCTAAAACCAAAATAGTCAATATACTTTTGATTGTTTATGTATGATGATATTATTATTTTCTTTTTCTTTTTTTTTTTTTGAAAACCGATTTTATCGTATTGAAATAATATGTATGACTTAAGATAACTTGTCATAAAAAAATAATTTTTATATTTATATTTGATTTATTTGAAATAAATTAATGAAAAGATAAAAAACAAATGCACGGTACTGTTCAGCTCTTTTTTTCTTTCTTTTCAACAGCATAACCCAAAAACAAAAAACACCTTAATATGAATATAATTTAAGAATAAGATGAATACTTCTCGTATTGTTCTTCACACACACACACACACACATACAGGTTTCTTAGAGAAAAGAGAAGTAAGCAGTTCAATAGGATTTTCATGACGAGGACAAAAAAAAAGACATTGTAATCGTCATTATGTTTTATCCTAGTGTTTGTGGTTGAATTATCAAGGATATGTCGGTGAGTAGTTTTCGTAATAATGTTGATATGATAGACGTGGTTGTTCGTTTTTCACCTAAAATGAATGTAATTAAGAAAAATAAAGAAAAAGTGCACGTATTAAAGGTACTCGGGTTGTATTTGTCCACTTCTGGTCCTCAAAGAGAGTCCAACCGATCAGGCAGAAATGTTTATCACAGATATTGAGCAGTATTCTCCAGATGTAGAATTGACTATTTTTGCTTTTGACCTTTGCATCCGAATTCAAAAGAATTCCAAAAGTCAAATCTTTTGTCTTGCCTATGAATCTTTCTTTACGAATTGTTCTCATAGAAAAAAGAAAATGAGATTCCATTGAAGGCTCAAAACTAACAATGAGATACAGTGTTATGTATCTCCAAAAACGTTTATGAGAGTCGTAATGTATCGGGATGCTGTTCCACAGAAAAATAGGGTTTCTCCGGAAAATTTCCGAAGGCTCTTTTTGAAAATTATTTCCTTGGATATGTATCTCTTTACTTTCGGTACCCTATCTGTGATAAAAATTTCAGCCCAATCAAATGCACACTCGTTAATAATCAAAATTGATAAAAAAAGAACGGATTTATTCTTAAGACATACTTGCGATGAACAAGTAAAGTCAGTTAATAATTGATTAAGAGTTTCATTCGAATATAATGAACTTCCATATTGGTGAATATATTGATCAGGTCTAACACGTTTTATTTCTGATCGTTGTTTTATATCTTTATTAACAATAATATTAACATCATCATATTCGACAATAATTTGTTTTGCTTGTTCATTAGGCTGATATTTATTTCGTACTGGTAACGGTGATGCTCGTTCATAAATTATTTGACGTTTTTGTTCGGGTGGATATGGTAACCATTTTTCAACTACAATAGGTGCCGGTTTTTGTATGATAGCTGAAACATTTGGTCGAAGACGTTCAACAACGACTGTTGGTGGTGAAGATGGTGGAGTTGGTAAATGACGATAAACAATAGTTGGTTTGGATAGACATTCCTTTTTTGGTGGAAGTGGCGGACGCTCACGAATTACAATAGGTGATGGTGTTCTTGATAATTGAATTTGACCGGTATTTTCTAGTTTTTGATGTATTGTTATTGGTTTAGGAGGCAGAGGAGGTTTGTGACGAACTTCTCGAATAATAATTGGAGCTGGTGGTGGAGGAGTTGGTGGACGAAGTAATTGTATATCAACTTGTTGTTTTAATATAATATCTTTACTTTTTTTTCGTATTATAACGGGTAGTGGTGGTGGTGGTTGTAGAATAGGTGTGGGATATTCATGAGTAAAATCCATTGAAGCAGCCATAGAAGAACATCGTTCAAGATCTTTTAAATAATTTAAATTAATATCACCGATATTAGTTGTTGCTTCATAAGTATGAAATGGTTCACTTGATGATTTGTTTAATTCGTTCATTGTATCTGATGAAAATCCCCATTCAAACTTTGAAATATCTGTTGTTGTTGTTGCACAATCTTCAATTGGTTTTTCTTCATGATTTCTTTCAAAAATATTATTATTATTATTATAATTATAATTATAATTATCATTATCATTATCTTCATCTGTTTTTGCAGCAAAAAAGAATTGTGGATGAGATTCGGATGGTACAAATTTTGTGAAATTTTTTTTCGTCATAAGTTCTTCTCGTGGTATAACAGTTATTGGTTTACTAGTACTTGTTATAGAACATGCCATTGATATATCATCACAACTTTTATGTCGTGTTAGTGTATCATTTTCAATCATGGATGCTAAATGAGCTGTTGACGATTGTGTTCTTCGTCTTACTGTTGCTTGTACTGTTGGAATTGGTGTTGTTTGTATTTTTGGAATAGGCGTTGTTGGTATTTTTGGAATTGGTGTTGTTTGTATTGTTGGAACTGGCGTTACTGTTGTTGTTGTCGATTGTAGCCTTTTCCTTTGGGTTGAATAACTAGAAGAATCCAAATTAAAACTATCGGCATAAGCAACCAATGATTCAAGTAATTCATCATTGGTTACAAAGTGTTCATGTGGTGATATATTTGTTTGTATTGCTGTTTCATGTTCAATAGATGTATCGTATAAGGAAATAGGTGGTCTGGACGATTGAATATAATTATTTAAATACTCATCATAGTTAATAAATGATGGTTGTGATTGTATAAGTACTGATAAATCACCAAGAGAACCACTAGTACTGTGTAAATTTTTATTTGATAATGGTATTGATGTTGTAGTTTCTGATCCTGTTTGTTGCATAAACATAGGATCGAATTGATACTGCACATCATTACACAATGAGATAATCGATGGTAATGATGTTGACCACTTATTCATTTCTAGCGCACGTTCCTTATATGTTTGTGTGCACACCTTTAAATAAGCGACTTCAAATCAATTGAACATTGTCTTTATTTCCTACCTCTGTATATGTACATATATGTATGGCACGGGACATTTGGCGTGTCATTTATTGATGGTGCGTGAAACTATTGAACGTTTGCATGCTCATATACGCATTCAAATTGTAGGGAACAATTCATGGCCTTATCAGATCAAACAAATGTAATTATTAAAATGCTTAAAAAAAAACAGACAATTACAGAGACCTTCAAGACAAGGATTTTTCTGTCTTCTTTTTTTTTTCATGTTCTTCTCTATCAAATAGAAAAAAACTCATTAGGTGAACGCGAATTACAAATCAATTGTATATAAAGACAGAACAAATGTAAAAGAAAATATTTAATTCAATATTAATTGAACATTGAAGATATTTATTTATTCATTTCTTTTTTTTTTATACATTCAATTGATAATATTTACAGACGTCATACAATAAAAAAAAACATAAAAAAAAAGAAGAAATATTAAAAGTTTCCTTCATCATCATCATCATCAACAGATGTTCCGTAATAATTAACAATCGATAGTGATTTTTTTCGTTTATATAATTTGACTAAAATATCATCTTCAATCTGATTACATTGTTCAAAATTAAGATATTCTATATCATGAAAATATTTTTCTGGTACGTCATTTAATATATGACCATATATTTGATGACACCCAACTAATGATAAACGTCGAAGATGATGACATCGAATGACTATTTCATTGAAACTATCATCAGTAAGACAATATGCCCATGAACAAGTAAAATCAATCAGTCGAGGACACCTATAAAATAAACGTTTTTTAAAAGAAAAAACGTCATCAACAAAAGAAAAAGAGAAATGATTTAGCTCCCGATTCAGTCCCATTTGATGATTTCTCGCTTGAGTCTTTTCTCAATTCGGTCCTAATATTATCAATCACAATGACTTATAATTATATTTAATATAGAAGAGAATAACTTGTACAATAATGAACAACAGAAAAAATACAACATTATTAGCATTTATTACGCATAGGTGCGTTATGCATGTAATGAAAAAAAATGAAGTTGTTTGTTTTTAGTTCTTTACAAATTTCGTTTTTACGGTTTTGCCGCATTGAGTTATTAATTGTAAACCTTGATATTTAAGGACAAATGCATTATTGTGTGTAATGTCCGCGCTAGAATCGGAGACGAGTGATTGTAATCTCAAGAACTCGACAACGGCAACTATCAGCAATCTTCTGTTTTCAGCAATAGGAAGAGAAGAACTCCGGACGTCTTTCTATCTTATACCATGTAATACAAAATTATTTTAAAATATATCATCTTCACAAAAAACTCAAAAAGAGTCCATGAAAACAGTTCTTTTGTTTCAAGGAAGTTTTGATAAAAAGTCATTCTTCTCTTTGAATTGCTGAAAATTGTAAGTCGATAACTGTTGTCCTTATCTAGTTATTGACCTTACATATATCACTCTTTAATTCTGTGGTGAGCATTAGTTGTGAATTGCATGTTACTTGTTTGCTATTCATATTCACTATACACAGTCAATGAGATATTAAATATATTCACCTTTATTTTTCTATATTCATATCTCTTCTGTAGCTTTAACAAAATGCGATGTAAATTAAGCAGGATGTGGATGAGGATGAGGTCTCTATCAGGATAAATTTAATTTCTCGTGGACCTCTCACCAATGAACATTCGAGAATGAATTCTTTAAATAATTAATCATGAAGATAAATGAAGACTTATCATCTCATTTTAATGTGATGAATTATGAACGAAGTAGAAAGAGACCGAAATGAGAATTTATCACAAGAGATCGCATTCAGAAGAAATCCAAATGAGAGATCATCAAGAGAGATCGCCCAAAATAGACACTTACATTTTAATAATTGATCGGATACAATCATTATCAATCAAATGACATTCTCCTAATTTAAGTAGAATTAAATTTTTAAAAATATGCTTTCCATTAAATAATAATTGAAATGATTCAAGTGGAACTGTTGTTAATTTTGATAAACATAATTCTTTAAGATTATTAAAATTCTATTTGAAATAAATTAAAATAATAAACAAATTATTCAAATATAAAAATGAAAAAATCTACTTGAAATATATGAAAATTTGAGCCTGACATATTTGTACAAAATTCAATCATCACTGATTTTAACTGTCGACAATAATCAATATATTCTAAAGCTTTATCCGTTAATTGAGCACCATCAATTTTAAGAATTTCCAAATATGTATTATGTTTATCACATAAAACTTTTACTGTTCTATACAAAAAAAAAAAAATATAAAATAAAACAAAAAAAATCTTGTTTCTTTTTTATTTTAAAGAAAAGATAAAACAAACTTACTCATCATTAATTGCTTCAATATAAAGTAAATTTAATTCTACTATTGTATTTAAATTATTAACAAGCTGTAAAATACCAAAATTAGTTATTCCTAATTGATATGAAGCTGTAATACGTCTTAATTGAATAGTTTTATCAGCGAGTAATGATAAAATTAAATCAAATTTTTCATAGCCTTTATGTTGTTGGTAATCAAATATAATTGTTTGTAAACAATTAGGAAAATATTCAACAATAAAACAAATTAATATTGGAGAAACATGAACATTTTGAAAACGTATTGTATGAAGTTTAGAAGTTGTTTGAGCAATTCTATCAAACCATATAGCCCATGTAAGAGTACTTACTTCATTATTCCAATTAAGAAATGTTATTGATCGAAGATATGTTAAATATGGAAGTAAATGAGTTACATCAAAAACGGATAATATTTTTGAAAGATCAAAATGAGAAATAACTTGATTTAAAACAAGATTTGCAAAATAACGGCATGTTGGTGCAATATTTGTCATAAGTTCAAATGGTGGAATTAATGAAAATATTTGAATAAGAAGTTCTGTTGGAAGATCAAAAAGATTTTTATTTGTATCACAAGATAAACATGAATTTGGAATGGATGATAATGAAGTTGTATTCAAATGATTATTATCATGTGGTTTTAAATGTTCAATCTAAATAAATTATATTGAATACCAAGAGCATCTGCGGATATTTTTTTTTGTTTCTAAAACAAAGTCTAGTTAAAAAAGATGTCTATTTTTGTCTATATTTGGATAAATCTGATAATAAGGGACTTGTTTACTATTAAAAGAAACAGAATACACAAGTATTCATGTTGTAAAACAGAAGAAAATATTCAGAAAAACGAATAAATTAAAATTGAAAATTGAAGATTATTTAGTCGTATTAAAGACATTGACGTAGGATCCAAAAGTCTAACCAAGTAGTTTTGTTTAACTTGAATATTAGTAAACATCCCTGAGTTGTCTAGATGTGCAACTAGCTCGATGTTTGATTATCAATATCAATAAAATTAATATAGTGACTAAATGTTTCTAGAGGATATCTTTAATATATCCCTATAGTACGGTGAAGTATGGAATTTTCGCTTTTTATTCTTCGATTCTTCCACAGATAATTGTATTCGATCTAGTTCTAACAAAATAAAATAGATTCAATCTTATTCTTCTGTCTCCTTCCTCCTATCACTGTTTCTTTTTTTTTTCCACTGTGAACCTTTTTTTCTTTTGATTTGTAGAAATAAATGATATTTACATTCAGTTTTTTTGCTAAACATTGCTGTTCTTCAAGCTCTTCATAACATTGATTTAATGTATACAAACCTAGTTGATTTATAATATTTAAATTTATAGATTGTTCTTTTTCAAGTTGTTCAATTTCTTTTAATGTCCAACCATTTTTACATAGAGGATAATTTGGAAACGGTTGACAATTTTCACTTGTATTTTGTTCATGTTGAAGATTTTCAATTAATAACGAAATAGTTACAATAGACTCTTCAAGTTCCTCTATATCTGAATGATCTGGTCCATAAAATCGGTCAAATTCTTCATCTTGATCATCATTGTTCCATAATGGATGTTCATATATACGGCATAGATTTAAAAGAGATTCAAGCCGATGTTTAACATTTATGGACACCAATAAAAGACGATCAATTAATAAAGATGACATCTAGAAAGAACAGAAAACACTTATAAAAACAAAAGCTAATCATTTATAAACTATTTTTATTTTGTTTTGTTTTATGTTTTTTATTTTTTTATAATTTTGTTTTATCAACTTGTTCAACAGTTTGTGATTCACGTTTACCAATCATAGGTGCAACTAAATATTCTTCATAAGTATTTGAAGCATTCTCAAGTACTTGTTTAATTTGAAGAGTTTTTTCAATTGATATTGTATCTGTTTGTCTTAAAGGACATAATTCTGTTTCAACCAAAGTATATAATGGTTGAAGATGATCAACATTTGCCTGATGTATAATATTCGATGAATGTATAGTTTGTTCAACTTTTTTTATTGTTTTTTCATTTTGAAATGATATCAATGAAAGATGTTCTAGTTTATTTTGCATATCAATATCAATTTTAATTGGATTTGATAAAATTTTTTCTTTCGCTTGTTGTAAAACAGAAAATGAACGACGAAACAAAACAAATAATGACATCTGCAAACAAATATTCCTTATCAATTACGTATTTTTCTTCTCTCTTCATTTCATTTACATAAGGAAAATATAATTTACTAAAAACAAATAAAACAGAAACAAGAATTTTATTTTGATTAAATTAATTATTTTTCACTGCAGCAAAAAAAAAAAAGAAAAAGAAAAAAGAGAAAAGGTGAATGAATAAAAAATAGTTGGTAATAGCGTGAATAGTTTGACAAAGTCACAAACACACACAGACATAGATAATAGATGTTAAGAAGACAAGCAAGAACAACGACAACAATAATAATAATGATATGAGCTCACTTCTTCGTCACTAAACTAATGTTTATTCTCGATTACCACCACCAAAATCGCGATTTTGTCCACGGCGATCATCCCCGGAAGCACCACCTGTACGACGATTATCATTACGTCGATCATCATATGACGGACCACCACTAGCACGAGGACGATTATTTTCATTATCGTCACCGTCATTAGCACGCCAACTAAACTTGGTTATTTAAGAGAGGTAATAATTTTAAATTCAAACAAACCTGTCCAAACGTGTTCTTTCTCGTGTACGCCAATTATCGTTTTCTTCTGATCGACCCCAATTACTGGATGAATGTGGTCCGCTACGACCACTATCTCGTGGTTCATCTCGTTGTTCTGTTGTCACACGTGTCATAGGCCGCCAAGCTCCACTTGAAGATGATTCTTCTGAACGTTGTTGTGATGGACGATCATTTCCAGTTCGTGGTCTATTTCAATGAAAAAAGAAAAAACAAAGGAAACCAGAGTATTGAATATGGTTCTCATATAATTTACTGATTAGAACGTTTCTTTTCAACCGTGTGCCATGTGTCTGCTGTTTCCACATTTTTGTCGGTCCATCGTTCTGATGTTGATGAAACTGACGGTTGTGTTTGTTGTGAAGAATATCCTCTTCGATCATCTCGTCTATCGTCCCTACGATCATCACGTCTATCGTCTCTACGATCATCGCGTCTGTCGTCCCTACGGTCATCACGTCTATCGTCTCTTCGATCATCACGATTTTGTTGTTCAGGTCTTATTCTATGTCGCCATGATTCATTAGATGAAACTCTATTATTTGATGAATCATCAAGACGTCGATCACTACCACCACCACCACCAACTCGTGGACTAAAGATTTAAAGAAAATATTTCTAATTATCATGTAATATTAAGAGAAAATGTCACCGTTGTTCATCATTGCGTGTACGCCAGATATCATTAGAAGCAGCTTGTGATGATTGATTTTCATCAGTTTCACGTATATTACGACGCCATGGTCGACTAAAATGATAAAAGTTACATGAAAATATAAATTTTGAATATACATACTTTTCAGTTCTATCTTTATCTTGCTGATGACTAGTACTGGTAGGACCAACTCGTCGACTACCACCACTAGGAGCTGTAGGTGTGTGTGCAGCCTCTTTTTCGGCTTGTAATCTTCGGTCAATTTCTTCTTCAAGTTCACGTTGTTTTCTAGCTTGTTCAGCTAATTTTTTATTTTTTTCGTCATTAGCCATACGTACTAATGCTAAACGTTCATCTTCTTTACGTTTTATTTCAGCTTCAATTTGTCGCTGTTTTTCTTGTTGTTTTCGTTGTTTTTTTAATTGTTTTTCTTTTCTAAACTCTTGCTTTTTCTTTTCTATGTATTCTTGACGTAATTGTTCTAAACGTTGTTGACGTGCAATTTGTAAACGTTTCTCAAATTCTTTCATTTCTTGAACATAATCTTCATGTCGTTGTCCACGAATTGATTGAAGAAAATCATCTTTATCATTTTCCATTCGTGTAAGACGTTCACGTCTTTCAATAGCACGTTGACGTTCAGCAAGTTGAATTTCACGTCTAAGACACGTTTCTTCTTCAGCTTGTTTTTGTAATATTGGTATTTCAGATTCATGTTGGGCTCGAATAAGATAATCAACTTTTTTAAATTGAACTTTTAATTTTTCTTTTTGTTCTCGACTATGTTTAATAACAGCATCAATATGTAATGAATTAATTGAATTAGGATCATATTTGTATAATTCTTCTTCACCAATAACTTCAATTATTTTTCGACCTATTTCTGATTCACGTAATTTATCGATAGCCACTTTCATAGCAAAACGATGTTCTTCTTTTTCTTTTTCGACTGCTGCCTCAAGAAGACGACGTTTAAGATCAGCTTCACGTCGAGTTTTATCTTCTTCATCACGTTCAGCTTGTTTTGTTTTTGAAACAATTTCAGCTTGTCTCACCTAATTAAAACACCAAAAAGTAAGAAGAAAAAAAAATCTTCTATCATTTTTTAAGAGCCTTTCTCAGAAAACTTGATCTTCGCCAAAAACATAATTTTTAACATAAACAAATGAACATGTTGTCTAGTGTATGAATTTATAAAAACAGTTTCTGTTCTCGAAACTATTTAGAGGTTTTATGAATGATCTTTGAAACTATCTGATCAAATAATGATGTCATGAGCAATCAGTAAATTTTTTTTTGCAGAGTTAGATCTACAAGATAAACAAATATCTTTTTTCATAAGTGATCAACTCATGTACATCTCAGAAATACACTATTGAGATCAACAATGACATGAAACTATGAATCTTCTCTTCACCCATATTCCTAAAGAAGACGTTTTATACAAAATAAATAATCATATTTCTTATGAGTTAGTAGTAAAAAACTAAACATCATTATCAGCCTCTAAAATAACTGTAAGGCAACAAGCAAATTAAAATAATTCATTTTGTTATTCTTCGGTCTTTAGTATATTGTTGAATAGTTCAACAAATAAAAAGGGAATGATAGGTAGCATCATCCATTGGAATGTATGCTGTATAATGACAATCTAATATACATAGACAAGTGCTTCTCTTGACATCCAATATATTTATGATTCATCTTCACTTTCAGTAACGATAGGAAGACTACATTTTAAAAAACAAGCATTCTTTTGAATTTTTCTCAATATACTACATTCTAGAGAACTGTATTTTTGTTTTAATTGATAGATATATACATAATTCTTCAGATGAGGAAAAGGAATTTTCTAATTAGTCGTGAATGCCCGATAAACTCTGCGTTTTTCGACAAAAAACATGCTTAGGAATTCCAGATTTTTGAAGTTTCAATGCTTCGAAAAATGAAACAGAAAAAAATTAAGAAAAAAAAACTTCTTTTCCTCATCTGCAGTGGTACAGCGTTCTCTTACAAATGAAGGCAATCCGAACTCTCCAACTTGGTCATGAAGAACCTCCTAAACAGAGAGATATGGAGACGTGACATTTCTTTTTATCAATTTACTATCATGAGCTGAACTTCTATGTAAAGTTTCATCCTATATCTCATGTATCTCGTCGAAGTTAGATTTTTGAAGAGAAGAAGATTCCTTAATTGAATAAATTTTTATTACTTTATCTTTCTGTTCTTTTTCTTTATCTTCTTTATAACGTTCAATAAGTTCACGTCGTTTTAATATTTCTTTACGTTGTATTGGTTCATCATGATAATATGTTTTTGCTATATCACGTCTTAATTTATCATTACGTTCTTTATTTGATTTTTCATTGATTATTTCCATACATGAATATAATGCACTTGACATTGAGGTAAGTTGATTACGAATTTGTTCATTAGGCATTTTTTGAATAATATTTGATTTTGAACCAGCATCAATTCCAACTGATCGTCCAATTGAAACATTCAAATCTGTACCAAATGTTAATGCTTGTAATTTATGTTCAATATGTACTTGAACATCATTATTTCTTGCAGCATTAACAATTATTTTTTCTAAACGATGTCTATCCATAGGTGGTGCAAGACTAATAAAACGTTTTAATTCAATTGTTTGATATACTTGTGATACTTGTTGAAGTAAACGTACAACAGTAACATCACGTAATGCAGGCATATATTGAGAATATTCTGGTTGTGCAAGTTTTTCAACAAATTTAATACCTTCTTCCATTTTTGATGATAAATATAATGGATGAAACTCAACTTCTAACCATTCATACATATCTTTAAGTTCAGGATGAACGAAATTTAAAACACCTTGTTTTATCATATCACGTATAAGACTTGTACGTGTTGGAACTTCTTGTAATGATAATAAACTTGTTAAACGTTTTTGTTTTTCATTTAATGCTTCTTCAGTTTCTAAACGTTCATCAATTTGTGTACGTGGTGTTGGCAATGATATTGAAAGTATAGCTAATACTAAAATAGATATTTACAAAAACAAATTTAATTTAATTTAATTTATTTAAATAGATATGACATACAAGCTTTTGTTGATAGACGTGTTAATTCAGTATGCGTTATATTCTTTTTTAACTCTTTATGTAAAACATATAATTTAAGAACAGTTGTTGCATGAAAAACATAATTTCCTGCTTTCCAAAAGACTAATGCTACTTTATTATAATATGTAGCTAATTGTTGTGGTCTTGGTGTTTTCTTTGAAATTGTTGTAAATGAATGAATATCTTCAATTGCTTTAAATGCTTCCTGAAATTAAAGTTTAATTGAATTGAATCCTTATTTTTGTTGTTATTAATCAATGAATAGTTAGAACGCAGTATGAATACGATTTAGATCAAACATGAATAGATGCAAATATGATTAAAACAAATTTAACGGTAACGTTGTCTTGATTTTTTTTAATACAATGTTAAGTACCTAGATCAAATTCAGATAACGATTTTAATATTCAATGAAGTTTTCTATCTAATACAGATTATAACAAGGTCTTTAAAAAATCGGATACGGTAGTTTTTAGGTCTCAAAAGATATTGGCAGAGCTATTTTTAACCATGCCATTCTAAAGAGAACACAATGAGGGGTCGCTGTATTTTCTATGATCTTTTCTTAAGAAGTTAAGTATCACAAACAACGAACAAAAATACTTTTAACTTTTTAAGAAAAGGTCATAGAAAGTGCGGCGGTTCCTCATTTTGTTCTTTTTAAAATGATACTCTTAAAAAATAGTTCTGACAAAGTCTTCTGGAACTTGAAAACTACTGTCTCCAATTTTTTGGGAACTTTGGTCTAGATTGCATTAGGTAGAATACTCCATTGGCTATTAAAATCACTATCTTAATTGGAGCTAATCCTTCACATTATAGAAAAAAGTAAATAAAAAAAAATACCATTTTGTTAAACTTTTTCCTATTAACTCACATTATAATTTTTTTATTTTGTTTTTATATTTATCTAAAGTTTTATTTTATGAGGAAAAAACTGTGTGTTTAACTTGATAAAACTAAACGAAAGGAATAGTTCATAGTTTAGTTGTTGCTCTATTAAGTCATATATTCTCATTGGGAAAGTAACAAATAAGCGCTATGATAATTGGTTGCATGTTTGATAGAAGAGTGGTTCTTAATTCATTTGCTACAAAACTCAACTTTCAGGCATGTGATTCAATCACATACATCATCACGCGAGAATGCGGATGACATGTAAAAAATGAAGACTTATCTCCATAAAATGGATACATAGATGGCTCTCGCTGCTAAACGCTAATTGAATGTTGACATTCATAGTTTGAATTTGTCGAAATATTACGAAAAGACTAGAAACTATATTCATCATCGAATGACGAGAACCGCAACAGACAAAGGCTCCAAAAGAAAACTATGCGAACTGGAAAATTTTTACAGCAATAACTCCTTGCTCTCGTGTAAGGCTCCATGTAATCTTAACGTAATCACTTGGGATTTGCCTCAACATCGTTGCATTTCCTTTGGACTTTCATATATCTTGAAAGAAGTTCTAGCAAAGCATGCTCAATAACATCAATTGATTATTCTTAGTTGTTCCCTATATGATGGAACAACACAAAATACATATGAATATGCAGTAGACAATACATGATTTATTGATCTATGACAATAGCCTATGTTAAAAAACAGAAATGCAATAAATGTAATTAAAATTTATTGCTTTTCTGTATACTTAATTTACAATGAATGATTTTTCCATTAAACTCTTTAATCAGTTTGGCGTTCGCATAGATTCAAAGATGATTAATACGCAGTTGCTCTATTAGAATTCATATGAAGGTTACAGGTAGTCTTTTTCTTTTAGATTGTAGATCTTATTTTCAATTATCTCAACCTTTACAAATAGTAATCAAACTGTTTTTTTATACTTCTATATATGTTTAAAATCAGAAGTGGGAAAGATAGAGATATTATATACCATTGAAATACTTTTCATAATCAAGTATGAGTTCATATTCACACTTGAATTTACTCGGACATATTATAAAACTTTAATGACTATATACCTGCCATAATTCCATAGCAATAGCTGTATCAAGTTGTACTAAACGTGTTTCTAAATGAAGTGCTTGTGTGTCAGGTAATTGAAAATTAACACTATATATTTGTTGAGAATATTTTTGTGATTGTGTAAAATGTGTTCGAATAGTATCGCATAATTTTCGAAATTCAGGTCGTCGATTATATTGTTGACAAAAACGAAAACCCATTTGTGCAACTTCTTGATAAATTTTCTCAACACGATTATTATTTTTTAATAAATCTAAACATTGTTTATATGATTCCCAAACGAATTTTAACCATGGTGCAAGCATATCACGATCTGTACGATCTTGTTGCGATTCACCACTTACAGCACTTAACAGAAGGCTAAAAAAGAAAACAAATAATATGAATAAATATTCGTAAGTTTCTATTTTTTTTTTGGAAAATTTGAGTTCAACTACCTTTCTGGTGTTTGAAGAACTTCTAAATCATCAATATCGATAAGAGCATTTGTTGCTTGTTGACGAGCATTTATACAACGTTGTTCGCCTTGCTTAAGAAATTTCATAATAACATCTTCAAGTGATTTCACTGATACCTAATAAAAGAATAGAATTATTTTATAATATTAAAGAAACTTTTGTTTTGAACGAACGGTTTGTGCTATTGTTTTATATTGATGAAGACCATCTTTTGCAATTTGATTTTTTTTCAATTCAACACATAATTCTAAAAATTTTTCCATTAATGGTTCATGTGTTTTTGTCCATGTACGATGACGACGTGATTTAACAACTTCAAGAAGTGTTTCTAAAGCACGTTGTTTTCTACCCACTTCGATTAGTTCTAACAAAAATATAAACATTTTATTGTTAATAATAAATGCGAAAAAGAAAAATTTACCATCTGCTCGTTTTAGAGCACTTTCAGGCTTCATAAAAACCATATTTTGAATTGAAATATTTTCTTATTAATTGAATAAAAATAAAACTATATTTTTATCTAAAATATATCAAAGATGATTTAGTGTTTCCATTAAAGAAAAGTATAATTTTCGACTCGGTATCAAGTGTGAATTAAGCTAAAGAATAAATAATTATATTCTATTTTATTTTATTAAAAAGCAAAAAAAAAAGATTTATCTTACTCGAATTGTATTTAATAAATCAACTGATGAAAATGATGACAAATTTTTTTCATTTGCCATTTGTTCAAGAATATTTTTTACAAAATCTATTGTTGTTTCGACTATTTTATCTACCGCATCAATGTCAATATCTGATGATGATGATTTTCGTGCAGCCAAAATAATAACTGTACGTAAATGAGAGATAAAATCAGTTTGATCATTATCACCGTCTACGTTACTCATTGAAGTAGCTGATTGAGTTGGAAAAGTATATTTGAAGATTTTTCTTTAGTTCTCCAAATTATTGGAAGCCATTTTGCGATGTCTCGTCTAAGTCTCTATGGATTAATTTACGCAAGAATTTTACTAAAGAAAGAAAATAAAGAGTTTATTTTTATAATTTAACAATCGGAGATTTCCTTTAACGAATTATGCAAGTATATTTTATCAAAAATTACGTTTTTCAGTTCTAGAAGATAACTACAAACTAGTGACATCTGTTTGATAGAAATTTTTGTACTTCACCGATTATGACCATGATGATAGCCAATTAGAAAATTCTTGATTATAGCTGGCTGGCTTACTTAATAATCATTGATATTGATAAGCCTTGGTTTTGTCTTCACTAGAAAAGCAATACTGCATTCAGTTTGAATTAAACTGACATAGACCTTCACATAATATTGTAATCTACCAATCAGAATTCGGAGTTTGTAGCACATTTCGCAAAAAAGAAAACGAGTTATTCTTCGTGTCATATGTTAATAATATATAAATCCAGCGTGAAATTTATTACCAAGGGACTTATTGTTCTGGTCACACATTTCGTCAAAAAAAAAGTTTCTAGAAACAATTTTCTTCACTCCTGTACCTGTCTTTTTTATGCAATTTGTTAATGTATTACGCCATGTATTTGATTCTATCAAATTTTAATAATGTGATGTCATCAATGTACATTCATTCATTTTTCTAATTAGCGCATCAAATTCATTTTTGAATCGATGCATTAAATTTTATTCACCTTGTGAAAGTATATATAAAAACTTAATAAACTTTTCGATGAACAATGTTTCTTAATACAGCATTAGGCACACAGCCAGGATTTTTGGAAAAGAGGGATTAAATCTTTTTTAGTCATTTTAAACACGAGTTTGTTTTTATCACGACGAATTTTTGAGAATTTAGCATTGTTGATTTTCATGTATATAAATTACATCGTAGTGCGTTCTGATTTCCAGGCTTTTTTTAAAAATTGCTCTAACCCACCCAAGCTATTGTTAATAATTCTGCTTTTATAATTTTTGGCACTCTTATACAAAAGCATGGAAAATCCAAAAAATCATAACTATTTTCCAAACCTAGAATGAATCAGAATGGCTTGAAAAAAAATTATGAAATCAGAATTTCAGGAAAATCAGGACCCACTGCAATGCATGGTATAATATGAATATGACTTGTACAAGAAGAAAATAAAAAAAAAAAAGAAAATACCTAAGAAGCAAGACAATCAATTTGGTCCATTCATAATAATTATTTTACGTTTTCATTTGGCAAATTCATTAATAATACTTTCAATATTTAATTCCTGAGCGACTTTTTTTAATAATATTTATGGGCGGTTACCGGAGCTTATTTTTTCTACGGCATTTGTTTACTAATTAGAGATTTATTAATTATGATGATATTTGATCACACCCTAATCAACATCCACATTCATACATTCACTCGTATTCGCACCTTGTATGGATTGAGGAGCTCTATGGAATTTATCTCGAAAAGCTTAGAGGCATATTGAAAAGTTCCAATAAATCCCGAAAAACTAAGTCCCCGTAGCTGCTGATATTGATAACAGCTAAATCATTCAATGGTTCATCACCTATTCGATTGTCCACACTAGTATCCTTCGGATTTTGCCTCATTATTTGCAATATTTCTATAAAAATAAAGGTTTTTTATTACGTATGAATCACAATTTAGAGCGAAATACTTGTGATTCGCCATATATTTAATTCACAATAATCATTACCATCAAAGAGTCGGTACAAAAAAACATTTTACACTAACTGATAAGTATATATGTTAGTTCCAGCACAAATATATTCAGAGAATGCTTTTCTAATATTTAAAACTCAGTGACCTTAGAAATTGATAGCGAAAGTTATTCGTGTACGAGAGGAGGGGGATCGGTCTCTATAATCCTCCCTCTGGTTGCGTCACTGTACAACATGAAATTTTATAGTGAAGAGTAAGTTATTCAATTGTGTCAAAAACTACTGTAACTTTGTAAATTTATTTATATTATGTTGATTCACTATGTCTCATTATATAGCTATAAAACGATTTCGAAAATATTTTTTCAATAAATAAATTATAAGATTTCTACTGAGAAGTCGATCACTACTCGGAAGTCGCGACCAACTTCTAATATAGTTGCTAAATTGACAATTTTTCCATTTGGATGAACATTATCCCCTCTTGTGAAGCAAAAATTTTAGACCTAATAATTGGTTTTTGGCTGATATATGATAATCTCATTAAAAACATTTTATTAATTTGAAATACTTTTTGACAATCATTTATTAGAGATATTTTTGCGATATCTCCTCGCTAGTATGAACTAGAGTTATGAAAATTTTACCAGATATTCATTTTGGGATGGACAATCCAACCTTTCAATTCTACCCAATAATATCCATGTAATGATTAAGTGTCATTGAATTTTTCATTTTATTTCTACTCTCCTTATATATTTCTCTTAAAAGTAGTCTATCTCGTGATAGACTTCCTCCAAATGAGTATGATAGAGTTTGCTCAAACGTTTTTCCTAAAGACTACTAACTTGGTGCTACTTGAAAATATATTCAACATTTTGAAATCTTGAAGTTTGACTGACACAAGCAGCATCACACAATAACACTTTTTTATTTAGTATACCATGGTAGACGATAATAAACCATTCGATTTTATTATAAAACAATGATTGTTTGACATGAAATTTTCAGAAATTGCAAAAGTCAAAATTAGTAGTCATTTCTGTAAGTTTCAGCTTGATTGGCGAAAATTTCACCTGCTTTTAGTGTTCGATGTAGCCGGATCAAAAAGATCTTAACGAGTGATTATTGTGAGTTGCTATTGACTAGTAAACGATGCTTTGAGAAATGAATTCATAGTAATTTTTTCTTTTGAATCACTCTTGATTCAAAACAAAAAGTTTACTTGAATAAGTTTCTGATAGCTTAATCGTTCCACAAGTGAGTTCACTCAATTATTCATTGATATTGATCTATAATATATAAAATATAAAGGTGAACATTAAATTAGTATCAATTACTTTGAAAAGTAGCTGAATATCCGGTAATGATAGTCGTTGGAAAAAAGCTATGCGATGTTGACTAAATTTAATTTGAGAATTGCCGATTATTATCTAGTTACTATTCTTCGAAACATATATCTATCAAACTTTCATCGTATAAATACATCTATTTTTATCTATCGACATTTTTCTGATCCAAAAGTATGCTTTCGATATTCCTTTTCTATATTTTTCCATTATATTAACTACAAAACGGATAATTTACGACGAAAATTCATTTGAATTTTCTCAATAAACGAAGTGATTTTGGCACGATTTTGATTGGAAAAAAATTATTATAATATTTAATCAAAATATGAATTTCAATAGAGATCGATGCCCTCTGACATTATTTTTAGTATCGTACAAACTGAAGGCGAATATATACTTTGATTATAGAGTAATTGTTTTGTTAAAATATATCGTTTGTTTCTTTTTAGATTGATAATAATGAAAATTATGTAGACATACATAGAAATAAGCCTTTTCCAAAAGGTAAAAACTGCAAATCTCTGCATTTTTTCTATTAAATTTTGCTTTGAAAACCATTCAAGCTTCTTCTATTTTGAAACGAAGAACAGTGATCATGAGGGATGTAAAAACATGGATTATTAATTATTAGTTCTTCATTTTCTTGTTCTGCTTGCTGTAGATGCCTATACTCACGTCAAATTGTTTTTATTCATTTCCTTCCGTACTCTGCATGTGTAAATATCTACTCATGTAAAAAAAAAGTAGGTAAACACCAACTTATTAATACTTTCAAGAGTTTTTGTTAAATAGGAAAAAATACTTATAAGTGAACCGTTTCAAGTACTTTTCATACTTTCTGACTAAAAACTACGATTAAGTACTTTTTACAGTGAAAAATAGTAAAAGTTACTTTATTTTACTTTATTAATATTCAAAGTAGTTAAAAGTTATTTTTGTTCACTTTTCTTTACATGGATATCACAGTAACCTTTTTTTTCCTTTCTTCTTTATTCTTCTCTATTATGCAAGTGTGTTTTGGTTACCTGTCGACTGCTTGATACCATGTTTGATAAATGGCACTTAATATGAGTGCAAGTCTCATACAACGTGCGCCTTTTCAATAAGAAAAATAAATTCTTCAACAAAGATCTGTTAGCTAATCAAAACTTTTCAATCAACGAATAAAATAAAGTCGAAAAACCTTTTTGTTGAGTCTGTTTGAAGATGTCTGCAAAAGAATCTGACGACTAAAAGCTCGTATTCTATATGAACGAATCACCTATTGATACCTTCACCGAAGCTTTCTTTCCCAACTACGCTTCGATTCCGTTTTCAGAGCTGCGCAGTCATTTTCTCATCGTACATTGGCGTACTTGGCAAAAACACAACTACCCATGTCTTGGTCATTAGACATTTCTTCATCATTGAATTCAGCAAGGTCCCATTCATAAAAAATATTTCTGAAAGATGCAAAACGAGAGTACGACCGTAACCGATTTTGGATGTTTTCTTGGTCAAGATGTAAACCAACTTGTGTACGACGGGGTATCCTTCAATTGAATTTGTGACTATGAACTAGATCCTTTTTTCATCAAGAAGGTTATGAATTGTTTCGTGATGGTGCATTGATAAAAGATAAGAAGGTATTTACTTCAGGTGATACTTTTGATGATCGGTTTTTCGAAACAATTGAACCAGCTTGTTACAAAGCCCTGTCTTTGTAACCAAGGATCAATCTAATAAATCCTTCCTTTGGTTCGGTTCAGTTGAATCTCCTCAGTCTTTCAAATTTATTCTTCTTATATCCGAGCGAGAGAAAAATACAAGTTATATTAAAGAGAGATAAGTAAAAATACAAAGAGAGAAAAAGGAGTGGTAAATATACATGTCTTCTACTCTAGTTTAGACTATTTAATAATCATGATGAAAATGACGTCCGACATCTTATTTTTCAAATTTCCTCAAATTTAATGAAGAGAAGAAAAGACTGAGAATGTATTGAAATTCTCACCGCCGAATAAGAAAGAAGAGAAGAGAGGGAGAGAGAAAGAAGAGGAGAAAAGAAAAGAAAATAGATCCATCGACCTTCGTATATAGGGTGGATAACGTATATCCGAATGATGATGCATACACAGACAAGTCGAAGAGAAGAGATAAGAAATAAAGATATATGTTAGAATGCTCTCTAACACAGCTGATTACCTTTATGTTGGTTCATTCATCCATCTCGTCGATGTTAACTCGTATAGTCAAACGCCGGATTACTGGGCGACAAGCCGATTCATTAGTGCCTACCTACAGAGTCTGCAAGAATATCTGAACCTGCTGACAGCAAAATGATGCGACACTGCCCAGAGAGCTTTGTATGTATGTCGAATGAGATTACGGATGGCAAATGGCAAGGAGAAAGTGCTAATTTTCAGAAGATGAATGTTATCAACGATTTTGACCCAATACTCTATTTTGTGGTTTCGAAAAAAAAAGAAACAGTAACTAACTACGTAGTGTTTTATATTGTTTCATTGTCAACATTGAACTAAATTACTATGAACCATGTTGTCTACAATGAAAAAACATGAATTAAGATAGACTGGTCATATCTTCTAGCACCACTGTAATTAGATCTACCGAGAAAATGTTGATCTATAAGCTGTTCGGTTATATTTTACTAGTGTATGAATGTTCTAAAAGTAGAGAACTAATGAAATGTTCTACTCAGAATGAAATTAGTAAATCTTATAGATTGTATTTCTTCATAACATGCTCTTTTATGACCTTTCATATTAAAACGTGTTCTAATTATACATTCATTTTTCATATATACAGGGTGGCAAAAAATTCACGATACCGAAAAACAAATAAATATCTCCATTATGGCTCGAGCAAACAAGCTAATTTTCTCCTGAATGATAGAGGCATGTTCAAGCTTTATATCCATAAAAACATGCCTAAATAGATCCTTTGTTAAGTATCACTATTAAACTCAACAAAAAAAATTTACTTTTTTACAGATAGGAAAAAAACTAATATACTTAACAAAGAGTATCTCTAGATATATCTTTATGGTTATAAAGCTTGAACACGCCTCTATCATTGGTAAAAATATCAGCTCGTTTGCTCGAGCCATAATGAAGATATTCAATTGTTTCTCGGTATCGTGACTTTTGGGCCACCTTGTTTTTGTATTCTCATAGTGTTGTTTTCTATTTAGCAGAACTATTTATTGTCTACAAAAACACAATCTTTGTAAATAGCATAATAATAGAAGTGACATTTGGAATGGCATACTCTCATTCATGTTAAGTAATTTATCATTTAGTTTTAGCAAACATTACAATATTTTTCTACATTCTTGAAAAAAAACTCTCTTTTTCAATTTCCTCCTCTGCTAAGTGCAATGCTCATTCCGGATCAATAATGTTTCTTCGCCTGTAATTTGTACTTATCAGAGCATATCATAATGTGTACTATTCTCTACCTCTTATTTGAGAATCTTTGTAAGCAATTAAAATGAAGAACCATGATACGTTTTATTTTTTATTTTTTTGTATCCTATATTGTACAGTCCAAAGCAAAAGATAAATCTTATTATAACGATGACTTCAGCTAGTTTTTCTTGGTGCTATAGCTATTGACAAGTTGATTCTGCTTGAGACAGTGAGAAATAATTCCTAAATGTGTACAGAGAAAAGTAAATTTGTTAAATATTGAATCTTTTCTCATGAAACATTTGATTTCATGAGAATCTATTAAAATCCTTTGCTTCAATTGCAAAGAAATTTTTTAAAAACTTCCGTCTGTCACACCATTCTTTTTCCATTGTGTGAATAGCAACAAGATACACTTATTAAATAAGTTGTATCATTCGTTAACTTAAGCTTCTGTATCTTATTTTTATACTCTTATTTTGACACAAGTTTGTATAGAACAGCAAATAATAAATCTCCAAAAGTTTTTTTTATATTCATTTTTACTTTTCTGCTTGTTATATCGAGCCCTATTTGCTAAATTGTAATTCATGAAAAAATTTTTACAAATGTATTCAACTGTTCACGCTGATACTTGACCTTGATGTTGTCGTTGATGGAATATGTAAAAAAGCAGGATTTCTAAAAGCACTACGTTCGATTGATTCTAAATTATTCTGATACAAAAAATATTTAGCTCGAAGTATTCGAACATAGGTGCCTACGGTAAAAATTATAAATAGTACACCAACTATTAAGTGTAGCAATAGAGAAACCTGCTACTTTAATTCAAAAAATAAGACCAAGCCAAAAAAAACTTAAGAATAGATCAAAACCAGTTGAAAGTAACCATGCTATTTCAACACTAATAGTGATTATTGATAATAGTTCTTCATTTTTATTATTTATTCAATAAGCCTTTTGATTTAACTCTTTGGCTACATTGAGTAATAATATATGATATGTGGTTGTTAGTGGTGATATCTATGCAGGTAAAATAGATTGTCGATCGTCTCTCTTGTTTTGTCTGTAGTCGTTGTAATCTTATCACGTAGACGATGATAACAATAACAGACAAAAGACGAGAGACGATCGACTATCTAGTTACCTGCACAGATATCATATATGATACTCTCGTCGTCAAAGGGTTAAGATACTTTTTACTTCAGGTAAAATACATACTGACATAAGTAAAGCCAATAAATGAACACTAACTAAGAGATATGATACAATGACATAAACTGTAAGTACACCATCACGAGAAAAAATATATGAATATGAATCGATCGACAATTTGACAAGAGCTACCTAATAAAATCTTTAAAATTAGAAACAAATCAATGATAATAATGATACTTACAATAGCAAATCCACTAAGGACAGTTGAAGTTCCACTGACAGTTTCCAGTTTTGATTTACGATAGAGAAGATTATGTATTCGTTGATCAGTTTTGCGTGGAATTTTTCCTAAACGAACGTGAACACTTAAAGATCTTTGTGATGGTGTAAACAGAAATAATAAAGAATGATTAACGCAATTAGTCTAAAAAAAGTTTTGCTTTCTATTCAATCATCGGATTTTTATTCTTCGACAAATTAATTATTCACAAAAGAAAATACAATAACTGGTTCGACAAAAGAAAATGATCATTAAAAATGATTCGAGACGTCAAAAGTATTAAAAAAAAACTATCAGTAAGGAGATGTTTTTTAAGAATTACAAGATATGTTAAAAGTTATTTTTGTGAATTATTGAGCATCCTAAAGGGTGGTCCATAAGTTTCGACCCCTCTCTGTAAATTGACGTTATCTATATGAATACATATATAGATAGTTGATTGAAATATACGGTTTTGTAGAGAATGAGAAGAGCTATCATCTGAAAAAAAAATGGTTGAAATTGTGTCGTAGTTATGAAAAGTTATGATCATTTTATTTATGATGACTAAGCATTTAACACGTTGCGTTTTGGCAAAAACAAAAAAAATTCTTTAATGTTTAAGTCATTTAAGTCGAGTGAAACATTGTTTTCTACATGTTTTTACTAGATATTTTCATATGATTCGATAGAGTTCGACAAGCTCTACAAAAATATGAATATCAAAACTAATTCTGATGCTGTTTCCAATACAAAATTTGGAGGAAACCAGAAAGACTAATAAAAATCTCACATATCTTGGATTAAAGAGTATGCTTGTCTTTCGATAACTCTAGCTGATCGACTGCTAATTTATGTTTCGAGATGCAGCGCCACATACTGAAGCTGGAAATAACCTTTCCGAGCTTCATGAGCAGACGAAACAGTCGATGAGTCGACGTTATTGAAAGTTCAGCATACACTCTCTAATGCAAGATATATATGAAATTTTTATTACTCTTTCTGATTTCCTTCAAGTTTTGTATTGGAAATAGCATCAGAATTTTTTTGATATTCATATTCTTGTAGAGCTCGTCGAGCTCTATCGAACCATATAAAAATACTTAGAAAACGATATTTTCCTTCAGACGTTAGAAGCATATTTTGTTTTTGCGAAAACGCAACGTGTTAAATGCTTAGTCATCATAAATAAAATGATTATAACTTTTCATAACTACGACACAATTTCAACCATTTTTTTTTCAGATGATAGCTCTTCTCATTCTCTACAAAACCGTATATTTCAATCAACTATCTATATATGTANAAATCATGTCGAATACGGCAGTTTCTATCCATAGGATTTCATTGTTTCTCATAACTTTGAATCTGATCAAAATCCAATGAATTCGGTAAGTGAACATCAATAGGAAGATCTATAAGTAATAGAATAATTTCAGAGAATATTTGATCACCGCATTCGATTGCAGTTGAAGCCTATCCAATGGAAACTCAAACAAAAGGATTCTATCATTATTTCTTACTACAGTAGTTCTCTAATGATACGATCTATAATGAAGAAAAAAAATGTCCTTGTAATATAAAGAAATTACTTTCGTNACTAAAAATTCAATACTAAAAAATCGTCCATAAGTTTCGACCCCTCTCTGTAATTTAACGTTATCTATATGAATACATATATAGATAGTTGATTGAAATATACAGTTTTGTAGAGAATGAGAAGAGCTATCATCTGAAAAAAAAATGGTTGAAATTGTGTCGTAGTTATGAAAAGTTATGTTCATTTTATTCATGATGACTAAGCATTTAATACGTTGGGTTTTTGCAAAAACAAAGTATGCTTCTAACATCTGAAGGAAAATATCGTTTTCTAGGTATTTTTATACGGTTCGATAGAGCTCGACGAGCTCTACAAGAATATGAATATCAAAAAAATTCTGATGCTGTTTCCAATACAAAACTTGAAGGAAATCAAAAAGAGTAATAAAAATTTCATATATCTTGCGTTAGAGAGAGTATGCTGAACTTTCAATAATATCGGCTGATCGACTGTTTCGTCTGCTCATGAAGCTCGGAAAGGTTATTTTCAGCCTCAGTATGTGACGCTGCATCTCGAAACATAAATTAGCAGTCGATCAGTTAGAGTTATCGAAATACAAGCATACTCTTTAATCCAAGATATGTGAGATTTTTATTAGTCTTTCTGGTTTCCTCCAAATTTGTATTGGAAACAGCATCAGAATTAGTTTTGATATTCATATTCTTGTAGAGCTTGTCGAACTCTATCGAATCATATGAAAATATCTAGTAAAAAACAATGTTTCACTCGACTTAAATAACTCAAACATTAAAGAATTTTTTTTGTTTTTGCAAAAACGCAACGTGTTAAATGCTTAGTCTTCATGAATAAAATGATCATAACTTTTCATAACTACGACACAATTTCAACCATTTTTTTTCAGATGATAGCTCTTCTCATTCTCTACAAAACTGTATATTTCAATCAACTATCTATATATGTATTCATATAGATAACGTCAATTTACAGAAAGGGGTCGAAACTTATGGACCACCCTTTAAAACCACAGAATGGTAGAGATGCAGCAAGTTTATTTATGCTTCCATTATTCATCACTTTGAACCTAGACTGAAAATTTCACTTATCTTTTCTATTTATGTATGTGACTAAAATAACATACCGTCTGAAGTTCTACCATCGTAATTACTTTGTTTGTCGTTCGAGTGAGCGTTTACCGGATCCCATTAGTCGTTATATGACATTTATCCTCATTCATGTTTTACTGAAGTAATTAAACAGCTGTCATTTTTCTTCTACAGAATGGAAAAATTTCTCTCTCTATTGATAAACAAATCTTGAAAAAAATGATTATTTAGAAACATGTTCGCTTTCCATTGATGATAGTTGAGACATTATTTTTATTATTTTGTCATTACGGTGTTCCCAAGCGTTGATAAATTTCAAAAAAAGGGAATTTTTTTTCACTGCAGCTGAGAGTATAGTCTTTTACTGCGAGACGAAGCGGCATGTAAATAAACTTTCTATATATAAATTGTTCAGTTTTTTAAATGCTTTCAGAATTCAGGTCGTTTCTCAACAAGCATAACTGTATTGAAGAGCAAACAAAAAACAGTATGGTTACGGAATATCATTCTATTTCCGAAAAGCACATTGTATCTTTTACTAGAATCCAACAAAAAAACTTTAATTTTTTCGACCCGAGAAATTTTAGAGAAAAATAAAAGTTGAAGTTATTATTGACAAAATATTCCATTTTTGTTCAGAGTTCGATGCTAATTCCAAATATATCCAAATATGTGCATATTTATGAACAAAAACATCAAGAAATTTGAATACTAATGAACTTCTTTAACACAGCATTTCAAGAAAATGAATGCAAGTATTAAATCAAATTATTTTTAAAATGAGTGTGTTCGATGGATCTTGTTAAATTCTATCTGGAAACACCATTTTTTTTTGCGAAAATTAGCAACAAAGGCAGGTTTTGTTACGGAACTTCATCATAAATAGAGATGGTTTATGAAAGCATTATCATGTTTCGTAGACATGTAACGTTTCTAGAAAGATCGGATGATTGCAAAAGTATTTCGAAACCGATCGATATTAACTAATCGAAGAATTTTGTTTTCTGATGATCGATCTTTATTTGATAAGATATTCCGCTACCATCTTTTACACAAATTTTTGAGTTGTTCACTCTCAGAAACATTCTGTATGTTCACAGCATTCAATGCTTTTCAGAAATAGAAACGTCTCGATTTCAAATACGATCAATCATTTTCTTCTCAATGGTAGACTCAACTTTCTTTACTTTCAGGTTCCAATCCTCGCCACGCGTAGATGATCGATGGCTAGCCATGCCAATTATCAAATGAATAAGCAACTTGTTTTTTCAAGAATTCATACTTATCTATGACATGTTTTTCTCTTGTTCGAATTGTTTAAAAATATTCGTTGAATTTTCTTAATAGGAGAGAGATACTGAAACTTTTTCATAAGTGTAGATAGAATTGGGAGATAATCCTAATCTTAAAAACTGCACAATTAGTAACTGAAAATTAATACGTTTAGTGCCTATTTATATGTATTATATTGTTTTATAAGCCACTTTTGCCAACACACAGAGTAATGCAAAAATAAAAACGTTTCCTGTTCTAGAATCTGAAAGAACAATAATTTATAAAAGTATTTATGTGTCACTCTGACATCTTTTGGTCTGATAGACGGATAATTAGTATAAATTATGCATCGGAAGTATGAACGAGTTATTGCATTGCTAATTATATGCATTTAAACATAATTTTTTTCTAACATGAGTTGTCTATCTTGATTCATTTCAAAAAAAAAATATATAGAAATGTCTATATGCTATCAAAGAAAACAAACATAAAAAATATACAGAAAAGAATTTTTTCAGTAGATTTTGAGAAAAAAACCGGAGCACAGCCTAGGAGATCATAAAAGAACGATCTTACACGAAACAAAAAAAAAATATTCGTCGTTAGTTTACTTTATGTATAAATAACAACGAAAGACTAGATTTATATTTAAAAAAAATAGAAAGAGATTTTCATATTGCAAAATACATTCTCAACTAATTTTCATCATCACTAGGTGTCAATAATGAAGATATTTGTTTTGAAATTTCTGAAAATTCTTCTTGACTAAAATCTCGTTTACGTGATGTTGCAGATGGAATATTTGCTAATTTTGTTGTTGAATATTTTGGTAAAACTGACGATGATGCATCCATTGGACGATGTCGTTGAGCAGTTAACAATGTTAATGATGGCATTGGTTCATCAACAGCTAATATTGGTGGTTGCGTAGCCATTTGATTAAGAATTGTTTTTGCAACAAGTGTTGCACGTCGTTGACGAAGTCGATCTAAATTTGGTGGTGGCATAGCTGGTGATATAGTATCCTCATCTTCACAACCAGAACTAGTTTCACCTGGTGATAGTGATGAAGCTGACATGGCACTATGTCTTCTTACTGATAATAATGATGTTGATGGGGATGGACTTGAACCAGCACAGCGACCACATGATCGAATTATTGTATTAACTTGAACACTTTTATCTGTATTTGTATCACTTTCAGAATTTTTAAATGCTCGAATAATAAGACCAGTGGATGGGCGAGGTACTGGTTCAGCAATACCAACGGGCCGAATAACTGATGTTGATATTTGTTCGAATGCATATGGTATTGTACGTGATGAACGTTGTTGTCGAGAAAGAATAGATTCTGATGTTAAGCCTGATATTGGTTGAGAATTATGATTTGTTGTGGCTAATATATCATCTGTACTCAATTCATGAAAACCTAATTGAAATGAAAAACAAATATAAAGAAATATTTATCTGTTTTTTTTTGTTTTATTTTTTTTTTGAACGTACCCATCTGTCGAAGAAATTCTATAAGATCTAGAAGCAATTTTTTTCCGATATTTTCAAGTGTTATTTGTATTCTTATTTGTACAGCTTTTACGCACAATGAGACAATAGCTAAACCAAATAATAAATAAATAGCTAAAATAAATATTAATTTCATATTATTTTCATGACGTATTGTTGCATTGCGATAATAATTTCTTAAATTAATCGTAAATATAGATGTAAAACAGATATAAATGCTATCAAAAAATGAATTTGATGTAAAAAGACATGCACCCATAAGTATATAAATAAAGAGTGTTATTATTAATTGTGGCATTGTTAAATTAGTATCATCATTGATGTCTTTTAATGTATCAATAAGTATATTATAAATATTTTTAATATGTTTTAGATGAAGATTTTTAGATAAACGCCGTTGTTTTAGTGATAATCGATGTATTGGTTGATCATTTTCATTAAATTCATTGTCAAATGAAGATGCTAGTAATTGATTACTTTTTTGTGAAAATAAATCATCTTCATCTGTTGGTAAAGGTATTAAAATATCTAATTGTTTTTCAATAAAACGAAATAATATCCATTGACGCATTTGAAGAAAATACTTTGTTGAATATGCACGTAATAATAGTAAAGATAAATATTTTATTAAACGTGTTATTAATAAGCTTAAATCAGATAAAAATACTAATGTTAATGGA